CGACACACATACACCACTTCCCCTGCCCATCTGAATCAAACACGGAAATGTCGTCACCAGGAAAAAATCACAACAGAGACACCACACATGCTTCGTTTATCTGCGTTCAAACCAATATGATAACCTGCTAATAGAAAAACTCCACAACAGATGTGATCGTCTATTGAAAGCCCCCTCCACCCCCCACCCCCGGTTGCCCCCTCCTTCCCCTCCCGAAAAACCAAACCCTCATTTTTCTGGTTGAATGAATCGAAGCGTCCGAAATTATCATCCGATTGGAAGAAGCTAATCGTGTACTAGTAGGAGAGGCAAGAAGGGAAGAAGGGTACCGCCCTGGCTGACAGCTTTCTGCCTTAGCATCTCCGGGTCAACTGTCATTCTGTCACTAAAATTCAAATCCCCTTGCCCCCCCCCCCCCAATTCATTTCTTTTTTTTTAACCTATCATCAATCTGCTCTATATACTTCCCCACCATCTCTGTTTGATACCCCCCCCCCCAACAGAAAAAACCACAAAAAAACAACAACAACCCCAAAACAAAACAAAACAAAACAAACCACAAAAAACCACGCGCACACAAAGGAAAAAAAAAGAAAGAATAATATAAGTAATAAGAAATAAAAAACAAACAAACGTTAAACATGAAAGTATAATATAAAAAGAAATAAATACAAATTAATGTACCAAAACTGAATTCAAAAGTAAAAAAGACCAGTTGGTTTCCAAGCTGTACCCCAATCTGTCCCCACCACAGTCCTGAAACTGATCTCAATGTTCCCCTCTCCCTTCGCTCCTCTTTTCCATTACATGTATTTATTGTAATCCCCTCCAACTCACCCCCTTTTTTCCATCCCCCACCCCAAATGTACACAAACATTTTTGTTAACTAAGAGCGACTCCCTCCCCCTCTTCCCCAAACCACCTTCTCCCCTCCCTATTCCCCTCTTCTCCTTCTTTATCATTTTATTCTTCTCCGTCGCAGCCTTCCCCTTAGTCCCATTCACCGTCGTCCAATAGTCCAATCCCTCAAAAGCCGCCCTCTCCAATGTCCAGTAGCGAGAAAGGAACCCAATTATCACCTGCCGGGGTCAGACCGTCACTGGGAGAGAAGGGCAGTGGTGGTCAGATCGACCAGACCAGAGATGTGTCTGCTAAATGATGCGACAGAGGACACAATTGACAATGATATTTCTTTGGTTATTGGAGCCATCAACACCGGTTGGAAAGGTAGAAAAGGGTAGAGGTGGGGGTTGGGCCATTTGCGATGGTGTCGTGGGTGTCGTGGTCATTTTTTGAACAGGCGGAGAAGATTGGCTTGTGGCGGGAGGGGGGTGCGATAGTTTCAAAGTTCTGTGTCCGATTTGACAGATCTATAGGTGCGTGTACCAATTGTAAGAATGCAAAGTGTAAGGGCTGGTCTTATTAATCCATAGCACTTTTGTATTTTTTATTCGGTTCTCAAACTGTAAAGATCAATTCGAGGATTCCCCCCTCATGTGAAGCAAATGACTTGGAACACATTTTATACATTTGACGCACAATCATGGAACTAAGGAACATCAAATTATGTCGCATTTGATTTCTTTTGTTCTGGTTTCTTAGTTGAGTAAAAAGAAACATATCGACACAATAACAATCATTAACTGCAGAAAAAAGAATAAGACAGACAGAGAAAAACATTAGAGATAAAGAAAAGAAGAAGAACCTGTCAGTGGAGCCACCCTGCCACCTCTCCTTTATAACAATCTTTTCTTCTATATTCAATTTCATAAATATCGTTTAAGGCTACAGGATATTCTATAGATTCATAAGTTTTAGCAGGTACGTGTTAAAAGGTCAATTAGTGAACTTGCTCCTGTATAATATCTCCTGTTTAAGCATGTTAATTTACCATAACATTTGCTTTTTTTATCGAAAAAGAAGCGACTTTTAGTGCGACAGGTCAGGACATGATCTAGACACAGAATTTCAGCTGGCCTGCATAGAAAAGGTCAATCTATGGACCAGCTTTAGTGTGATATCCATTGACCCAGTCCGGAGAAGACATCGTGTACGGCCAGCCCCCGGGGCAGCAGGAACGAACCCTCCCCCCTCCCTACGGCGTGTGGTGTACTGAAGCAAGCCTGGCCCCACGCCCTCTATCTCCCCCAGGACCAACTCCTCTTCAAAGGCCCATCACCCAGCACAGGAGACCCCTGAAGCAGCTATCAGTGGCTTCGGCGAAACTCGAGCAAATGTCTTCGCTTTATGCCGAATCCTAATTAATCTGCAACTCCTTTCTGACCCCACGGTTGTTCGAGGGTCATCCTTTTCCCGGACGTGTGGTGATGGACTTTCAACCCCCCCCCCTTTACCCGCTCGCCTCTTCTTGCAATTCCATAACCAACCCTTTCCATATCTCTTAGCCCCCTTCTCCTTTGCAAGACTTGAATAGAACGCCTCCCAATTAGCGCCGTTGAATTTAGAGAGGCGGACAAGAGTAGGGGTGCCGTGCCTTGAAGACGGTCTGTTGTAGTCGTGCCTTGTGGCGAAAACTTTTGTTGTCAGTGGCGTGTGTTTGACACCTCACTTGCCTGAACTTTGTTCATACTCATGTGTCCCTCGCACCCACACATACACACACGCACACACACACACACACACACACACACACACACACACACACATACACACACACACACTTGTACATGCACACACATACACACATACACACGTAACATACACACATACACACAAAACACACACATTACACACACACACACATGCACACGCACACGCACACGCACACGCACACGCACACGCACACACATACACACACTTACATGCACGCATGGACAGACAAATGATCTTTGACAATGAGAGCAACAGCCCCCTCCCCTAAAGCAACAACAGCAACTCCAGCAGCAGCAACAATAACAGCACAAGAGCAACAATAAAAGTAAAAACAACAATAACAACAGGAACAACAACTACAACGACAACAACAACAACAACAACAACAGCATCATCAACAAGAAATGAATCAGAATTGCAGCAGCTACTTCCGCTGCAACATATTCGCTTTGTCAAAATTAGAAGAACAAAAACAAAAGAGACACAGATCCCCAAACAGCAGCAACGATTACAAATAACCGGTATGTTACTGTCCCAACAACAAAATCCTACTCCGCCGATGATCAAACTCGTTTTCCTTTTTCAGAGATCTCTTCTCGAATAGTTACCGGCCTTGAGGGATCCCCCCTTTTTCAAGCTTTCAGTACTCCTACCCCTATAGTATTTAATCTACTCATTTCGTCTGTAGAAACCGTTTTAGTACAAAGCAACAAACAAATCTCATTGTGTACGCCCCCATCACAGCGGTACAGCAACGCCTTCCTCTTCCCTTCTGACACACCCACTCCACACTAAGACTTGGTACCATCAACTACCTTCCACTCAAACTCAAAGTTCTTCCTTCACCCGTAGTTACGGTTCTCCTTTAAAAGAATGATAATTTCATT